GGTTAATATAATTATAGTGGGCAGTCTCATTGACAGATGGGTGTGTGGATTACTGTAGATCAACAAACAGGAAGGAAAGCAGGGAAAACAACGGTGACCACACTTCAGAGGAACTTCCAACAACACTTCGAAAATGAATTCTTGTCTAGATCAAAACGTTGTCTAGAAACAGATTACACATTAAGAAAATGCAGTTAGGAGCTTTAGGCACGTAAGCGATATAATATTCAAGTAAAGTGAAAAAAATGAATGAAATCTAGAAGAACAAAAATCACGGTAAAGAAGGATCTGCGAGAAAAGAGTAAGAGGTCCTGAAAATTAACATTTTTCTGAGTACGATTAGACCCTAATCAACAAGTTATTAATCGTAAAGAATCAGATCACATCAGGATGGCAAACTCGCAATTATTAGAAGGTAAACTAGAAAACATTGAAGTTGAGTAACATGAAGAGGTCAACATAAGCAAACGTTGCATGCAGCGTCTCGCGTAATCCGAAGCCGGTGGGGGCAATTTCCGATAGAAAAAGAGAGTATTGTGTTCATCCAATCTGCCATCATTCCACGCAATAAGATTAGTTCTGTCATCACAGAGCGTTCACAAATTACATCAGACGGGTGTTCGTGCTATTATGGGGTGATAAGATACTTAAAGTTCTATTTTAACTTACTAAAATATATATATTCGAAGTGTTCAAAACAAGTGCCTCTTTGTCTGGGGATATCTCGTTTAGTGCAAGTTTTCGCGCATTAGAATTGCCACAATTATGCGAAAACCGCACAAACCTTTTGAAAAGAAAATTCATCAATCAGAGAGTATATATACTAGTCTGGACATCCTGTACGTACACTATGATTAAGTATATCAAGGAATTACTTTCACACACTAGGCACTAGGAAATCAGACCTCTGTTTTGCAATACTTTCAATAATTTTGTTCGAATTCCTTTGCTTTTTGTAGATGTGCTGTGGTGGGTACCGCGCATCTGGAGTTTAAGCGCGTTGTGCAAGATTTCCGTATAATAAGGTTGCATCTATCAGTTTCTTTGTAAATTCTGAAGTAGCAAAATATTTTTTTTATCGTTCTCATTAAATGTTTAGTAGACAATGCGAAATTACTATCTAAAGTTCCTTTTAATCAGTGGACATCTGTGTTTACCTCGTTTGTTGATGATGATGTAACTCAAAATGGCAGTGAGGAAGACATGAAGAGCTCAGTGTTATCATATGTACACAGTAGGGATTTGGATTTTCGTGCTTATAGAAAGAACAAACAATAAAAAATCAAACAAAGTGAAGTAGATAAAATTTCTTATACTTAAGATTTAGTTTTGTTATATATGGGTGTGAAGAAATTACATGGACGAATCCGCCAATGCCCAATATGAGGGAA